ACTGATGTACTGTAAAACTTCAAATAAAAGCCCATCACACTTTAAGGCCCCGCCCCTTTTACTGGCCTGGTGTTGGTGCAGGGCTTAATAAGAGGGCCCTATAAATTTAGTGTTGAAATAGTTTGTTGATTAAAAATATATTAAGAAAGGGAGTCTGTCTCTCGTCCACTGTGCAGCATGTTGGTTTGGATGAAGATCAAACCACTGATTTGTAATTGTTTTCCTCCACTTTTCTTTTTATAAACGTTGAAATTCTGTTGCAGGTCTGGAGTTGCCGAAGGAGCCAACACACTCCACACACTTCAAAGCAGAACTGATTGTACATCTCAGCACAATAACAGGTTAATGCAAAACCCTCCAAACACAGTCAACACAAGAGAAACCAAGACGGACATTTCTGCATGAAAGACTCGCGTTCAAGGGGATTGATTTCACTAGCATAGCATCTGCATCCTGTAATGGTTTTATTTCTCTGTTGTATTTTCTACATTTGATTTTACTACGATTCAAGGTTTTAGGGATTAGAGTTGAAAATATTTACAACTTCATGCACAATGCTTTTTTATTCCAAAAGACCAGATAAAAAGGCAGAAATATGCAGATGTAATTTTTCACACTATATGATGAGGGATAAAACTTCCTCATTACAAATCAACAGATTTATAATATGTGATTAGATATGCTGATATGTTCACTCTGTAGCGACTCAAATGCAGTATAAATGATGCTGTGTGGACCTTTATCAGGTTACGATGGATGAAAACGTTGAATTATCTGATCAAGTGAGAGAACTCCTTCATAACAGACTCTGCAGCACATCTCCGTCAGTCAGTCCTGTAGTGTTTCATATGAAAGGATGCTTAATTTAGGGAAATGATCAGAATGCTTTGCTCCATAAAAATGTGTCATTGAATGTAAATGATGCTTTCCTAATCTGCAGCGAATGTGCTAAAACTGTAACTTGACTGTTTAGTGCGATTGTGTCATTTTGATGTGAAAGCCGGTCAAACTGGAAGGTTAACGACAGCAGCTTTGCATGATGAAACATTTAAAGAAAGTTGTGCCTAAAAACCTTTCCATCGAGCCTAGAACGATAACAGCTGATCAGGTTTTATACTCTGCTGTGTTTAAGGGCGCACTCACACTGGGCAATCTGTACCGTGTCTAAGCACTCTTCACCCTCAAAGTCCAGTTTGTTTGAGTAGTGTCAGTGCTCCGATCTGTGCTCAAACTCAGTACGCTTCCTTGGCCAATGCACGGTTGGAAGAGGTGTGTTTTGGCACGGTACAGTTAATGCACGAGCACAAGTAACAATGTGGACTTTAATTATAAAAGTATGATTGATCCCCGCTTCCTTTACCGAGAAATCCCATAGTGTAATGTCTGTATCTGACTAAAACGACTCAAAAGTCAAAGTGAGTATAGTAGCTGTCATGTTCTCTGTGTTGTTCTCCGATGTGCAGACGCAGATCCAATCTTGCGTCCCTTTTATTTTTTTATTTTTTTTTAGTCAGTCTGTTTTGTAAACTGAGCACGCTTCATGATCACGTAGAGCCATGCATGTGCTGTTTTATGAAGTTAGGTACAAGAGGTAACCATGCTCAGGCCCGGTAAGTCCTGGAGCAGTGTGGGTGCAGGCCAGAGGGGGGAATGGGGAGGGGGGGGGACAATCGTGCTTCAACATAGTACAACTGGGTCTCGTGTGAGTGTGTCCTGAGAGGTCATAGAGTAAAACAAGGTTGAATCTGAAATGTACGCTAACACAGAAGAACAGTTTTCGACTTTTTGAAATGATTTGAAACATCTGAACGATATCTGCAGATCATCAATCTGTTTTTATTTTGAAATCATGCCTTATCGGTTCTGTGTGCACCACTTGTCCTTCCTGCCAGTTGTTTCCAGCTGTGTTACATGTAACGCTGAACCTGCTCAGAGTGTTTTTAGATGCCGCCTCTGGTCTGATGAAATGTTTTATATTTTATTGAAAAGGAGAGAGAGAGAGAGAGTTTGGGAGTTGCTGTCATTCTCTGAAGGACATTTTCTGAAGGCAGGAACTGTGTGGTTATGCTTTAAGGCTCCTGCCAATCCAGTAACTGAGTACTGCTCCTAGATGTGATCAAATGTATGAATTCAACTTAAAGCTGCACTAGACTGGAACATGTGTGGTCATGAGGTATCAGAAGAAACAAAAGAGTAGTTCCATGAGTTGCCTTGTGATTCACGTACAGGACGGATTATTTATTCCCATATACAGGCACTCTGCTGCACGTAGGAAAAAAAGGAATTTGAGATTAAAAGGCAACAGATCGTTAGTTCGCTCTATTTAAATTATATAGATATGACGTCCATTGTTAGAATGTCACACCATACAAGGATATTATAAACGTCCTCTATTTGCCTATCTGTAACCGGGATGTGTTAAACCACAACGGAGTTATACACAGTGTTTGTTCACCTGGCAGGTTCATGGAAAGGTCTCCTCTTAAATGCTTTTCTAACGTTTTTTTTTCCAACATAAAAGCTTCAGCCGCTCTTGATGCCGAGGTTCCACAACTTTCACAAAATGTTTCAAACCTTTCAAAATGCACACAGGCTGAAAGGTTTCCTCCGGATGTAAAGGATGAGACACTAGACGCCATTTAAAGCCCTTACATTTCATCTAACAGAGACGTATCAGTGATAGATTTTAATATGAAACAGTGTTTTATTCTTATTTTGATTTTCTCTCATGTTGAAGCAAAAAGACATCAGCGATCAGCGTGGACATTATCTTTACGTTTCACGGGTGCTGCCCAAAAAGAGTCAACCATCTACAGTAATTAGATTGAATTATTTAACACTTTTATCTAAAGGTCGGGACAGGCGGGGAAATACACTCCAGTAAATATGTGTGTCTGTGTAAAGAGAAAAATCTCTTTTTTAAGGATGTGAAAAAAATGACAAATTGGCTTTTAAGGGTTTACACATGCTGGACAATGTGTGTTTGTTGGACCTGGTTTCTAACTTCCTGTAAGAGTTTTTATGTTATCAGCTCAAATTTCAAAGTAAAGGTTCAAATTATGAGGAGTTTTTTTTTAAATTATTTGTATTAAAGTTTTTAATTTATCTGGCCATAAAAAGGTCCACCTGGAGAACAGGAAGTCTCTTGACTGATTTTAAGGACAAGAGACACAAAGTAATGTGAGCGACACCTTTCAAACACGACGACAGCACAAGTGTAATATTTGAATATTGGACTCATAGAAATGTGAACGAGTCTTTCGTCTTCTCCTTTTGGTCAATCTTACAATGAATAATGTGTCTGCGCTTTTATTGTCTGTGATATTTTTTTTATTTTGAAAAGCTGCTGTGATCCGTTGTCTTGTCTGATGCTGCAGGTGTTTAGATTCTGCTCTTTGTTCTGTCAGAAAGCTTCAGCTGCCTATTTGTGTCAAAGTCCATTTCTCTCTGTCACCGCACAGAAACCTGTTTGTTTGTTTTCATCTGAATTTGATTCCTTTATTTCTGTTGATTACATGTCTTTTATTTTGAAATCTGAACTGCTGAATTAATTTGTGAAAGGAATCGATAATCATGGTCTTTAATTTTGGAAGATAATAAAATTACTACCATGACATGATGGTTTCCCACTGTTTCTTTTGTTGAACATTTCATGTGATTCATGTTTAAAATCCTTAAACCGAACCGGTGAACAAACATCATATTAGAACTTGATTTTTTAACCTGAACTACATTTGCATTACCCCAGACACAAACACCAGCTTATTATGTAAAACCAGACCAGCATGTTTCCTCTGAAAGTAACAGCAAAGTCAGATCAAACGGCAATCATGCACACATTCAGTGTAAGTCTTTGAGAGGTCATGTTTTACACGTACACCTTCACAGTGTCTGAGTTCGAGGCTGACATACGTTTCTATTCAAAGCCAAACAAATATTCCTCGATTATCAAACATGTGCTTGTAATCCTTTAGTGGACCTCATTTGTATTTACAACATTCTCAGTTTCATTGGTGCGCAGATGGTCTAGCTGTTCACTCCCCCGTGTAGTAAAGTTACATGGGGAGCCCTTCGTTCTGCACTTTGGAACTAAAAGTCTCTCGTCCAGAAGGAAGAGGCTCAAACTCACAAATGCAGAGGAGGGGGACTCATCTCTAAAGATTGAGCTGGTGATCCACCTGCTCCACCTGCCTGGTGTTCAAAGTCTCCAGACTCAGCTTACTGGACCCACCTCACGATCTGGTTCAGAGAGGTTTCCAAACCATGACACAACAGAAAAAGATCAAATGGGCTAAAATCAATAAAGTTTGACTTACTTACTATTGAGTTATCAAAACAGTGTTCATGATTCAGAAGAGAGAAAAGAAAAGATATTTCACTGTTCACTTCTTTTCTAGTCTTCTGAATACTCAGAAGTGCTTTTACACCTCAGGTCACACCTACACATTCTCACACTGCTGGTAGAGGCTGCGGTGTGAGACCATCAGAAGTCACTAACACAGCGCTTGCTGTGTGCGGCCCCCTCACTCTGACATCTCTTCATTTGTGCATGTGCCTTTTTTCAGCCTGTGTGTGCAACATATTTCAATATCAGAGTGTAAAAATTGAATTTCCCCTCGTGGGTTTAATAAAGTATATCGTCTTAGTGACTAAAGATGGTGTCATGATGTCTCAGAATTACAACACGACGTTACATCTGAATAACAAATAAATACAGTCGAGTTTATTACGTTTTGTGAATGAGAGCCGATTAGTTTAGTGTCTGTAAATGTGAATTTAGTTCTAAATATGGAAGCTGACATGCAGCAAAGGTTTCACACAGATATTCTGAAAAAATGAAATTATCTTGACACAGACAGACATTTGCATTAAGATAAAAGGTGCTCTGACCTCGTAAAGTTCAAATGTTTTTTTTCCCCGAACATGATGCACAGTCCTTTATCTCTTGCTTGCCCCTCCCTCACGTCTCAGACCTCCTGTGTATAAATACCCAGAGAGGAAAGCAGAATATAATCCATCAGAAGACATCAGGGAGTCAACCACCCAAAGTGATCAGAGGGACGACCATGAAGCTCTGCGCTGTCTTCATTCTGTTATCGGCTGGTGAGTGTTTTCTATCAACTTCTATCCATAATGTTTTTATTTGTTACAACTTTCTCCAGCATGCATTTTTATTAAAGTTGGTTTAAAGGTGAAGAAGAAATAAAAGGTTAAAAAACCGAACGTTTTCCCTATTTTCTAAATCGTTCTAAATATTTATATCATGTTATATATTTGTAAATTTGTAAATAAATCATTATAAATTATATAATGATGATGTTTGGGTAATTTTGTCTGTATACATGTTTATGTGGATGCATGGATATAAATGTGTATACACAGTATATGTAGTGTATTATTTATGTGTTTAAGCATTTTTATTTATGTGTTACTATCCAACATCCAAAACCTTTAATTTAAAAATTCAACTTTTTTTTTTCTTAAAGATTTCTTTTTTGGATTTTTGTGCCTTTAATGGGGACAGTGATAGGAATGGAAATCAGGGAGGGAGAGAAAGTGGGGAATGACATGCGGGAAAAGAGCCACAGGTCGGCTATGAACCTGGGAGGACTACAGGCTCCACACATGGGGCCTGTAGTCAAATAGATATCCAAGCATACACACACATGAACTCTCCATCTATGGGATTTGAATGATAGTGTGCTGTCGAGGATGACACCCAGACTCTTAACCTGAGGGGAAGGGGAAACTGAGGAGCTGTCAATAGTGAGGGAGAAACTGCCAACTTTGGATAATATGGATTTAGTGAGAAGGATCTCGGTTTTATCACTGTTTAATTTAAGGAAGTTTGAGGAGAACCAGGATTTTATTTCAGATAAACAAGAAGTGAGGGAGGAGGGTGGAAGTGTGGAGTTTGGTTTACTGGAGAGGTAGAGCTGGGTGTCATCCGCAAAGCAGTGGAAAAGTATATTGAATTTACGGAAAATATTGCCAAGGGGGAGAAAGTAGGTGATGAAGAGAAGGGGCCCCAGGACAGAGCCCTGGGGCACACCTGTAGTGACTGGGGAAGGCGCGGATTTGAAGGATTTGAGCTGTATGAACTGAGTGCGGCCTGAGAGATAAGAGCGGAACCAGGTAAGGGGGGTGTGAGTGATACCAATGGAGGAGAGTCTACTGAGGAGGATGGGGTGTGAGATAGGTCAAAGGCTGCACTCAGGTCAAGAAGGATGAGGATGGAAAGTAAGCCGGAGTCAGAAGCAATGAGGAGATCGTTGGTGATTTTTAGTAGAGCAGTTTCTGTACTGTGACGGGGGCGGAAACCAGACTGGAAGGGCTCATAGAGGCTATTTTGATTTAAGTGAGATATGTTATGTAACATATTGTTACTGTTTTCTTTCAGATGTATCCCTACAAACCTTTCTGTTTGCCTTGTGTTCCACATCATTTGCCCGTCTTTATCGTCACCTGCTCTGACATTCATCCTTTATGTCTGAGCTTGAACTCGACTCGTTCACACAGAATTATTTTCTTCTTCCATCTGTCAGGAGCCGCGTTGGCTTCCATTGAGAAGAGGATCGTCGGGAGTCTGAAATGTAAGAAGGACAGGCAGTACCATGTTGAGATCACGGCCAAGCAAAAAGAGACTACCTGCGGGGGCACCCTGCTCAACAGTCTCTGGGTCCTCACTGCGGCCCACTGTGGACAACAGTAAGAGACATCAACGCTGTGTCACACATAATAATAATAATACTTTAGTTGTGTACTTTTCAACACAGCTTCACAACAGACAATAAAAGACTGAAAATAAAATCCCAGAGTTAAAGCTTTCTGTAATAAAAGGAAGGACTGACTCTGCAGGTCTGAGCTCCTCTGGCAGGCTGTTCTGAAGTCTGAGGGCTCTGAAAACTAAAACCTTTTTAGTTCTGCATTTTAATTATGATGTTTTGTTTCGTTGTTGTTTTTTAATTTGAATACAAAAAAATAGGCCTACTAAAATACTTGTGTAAAATACATGTTTATTGTTGCCATGAGCAACAAATGCTATCCCTTTACTGTCTGCCTGTTGATTTTAAGAACTTTATAGGGCCCTTCCTATAGTTGCTGAGCGTTTTAAGACTTTATATGCGATTTTTTGATCCAGCAGATGTCGCCCTTGAGCTCCAGCATGAAATCAAAATAACTTGCGCTGCATTGTTGTGTTAGCATGCTAATGCAAGCGATCTTTATTATGCTGGTATCTTCACACTGCATGTAAATTTACCTGAAATGAGCGTGATCTAGAAACACAGTTAAGCAGTGAGTACAGTATGTTATTCTTCTTTTCTGTAATCCTTCAATTAAACAACTTTTATACTCGAGGGGAGGAGTCGGCTGGCCGTCCTGGCGATGTAAACAAACTGAAGATAGGACTCTGAAAACATCACAGACAGTGGGACTCGGGTGTCACACCCATTGTAGACAGTCATGACTCACAGAGTTATTTTCAGAGGATATACTTGATTTATATTATATTTAAGTGTGAAAAATCACATATAAAGACTTTAACCCCCTAAAACAGTGTGCAGTCTGAGATCCTCTGGCAGAGCTTAACACGCTGTTCCAAGGTCCAGGATGAAAACTAAAAAAAATGTTGTGATATGGACACATTTGTTTATTCTTGTTAAAAGCTGGGCTGCTGTGTTTTGTCTTGTTTGGAGGCGGTGGATTGTTTTATTTTACTGAGACAGATGTATCATGATTTACAGCAGTCGAGGCGCGAGGAAATAAAAGTGTGGAGGAGTTTCTTCACTTTTTTTTTGGCCTTGGCATTTTGCACTTTTAACGAGATTCAAACAATTAAAAAAATATATATACTGGAACATAGTGACTTGAAATTGTAATACAAAACTTGGCATAACAAGAGCAATTAATATATTTAAAAACAAAAGTGTTTATAGATTTTCACAAAATAGTGCAGCTTAAAATTAAATTAAACCTGCCCTTCAAGGAACACACTCTGTTTCATAGTCTACATTAGGTCTAAAAAAATAACGATATTACATTGAATCAGCCAAAAAGAAAAAGGAAAATGTTTAAATGATTTTATTGAAGTTACTTTTCTGTTGTTGTTTTGCAGGGAGCTGAAGGTGGAGCTCGGCGTTAACTATGATGCATCATTTTTTTCCAAAGAGTTTTTCTTAAATGACAAGCAAGACATAAAAATCAACCAGCAGTTTTTCTTTGACAAAGATGCGGAAGGGAAACTCCACGACATCATGCTCATTAAGCTGACTAAGAAGGCTTCAGCTAAACTTCCCACACTGGAGCTTCCTGCTGGGGAATGTACAAGACCAGAACTGAAAAAAACGGTTCAGGTTGGAGGCTTGGGACCTGACAAAGAGGGAAAAAGTGAGAAAAAAAATGACATGATACAAAACGACACAGCACAACAAGAAACAACAAGTCACAACAAGACACGGCATGATACAGTAGCCTGCAACATGACATGATACGATACGACACACAACACAACAAGACATTTTAACTGAATTGACTGAAGAATATAAAACGCCCTTAATAACGGTCACATTTCAGGATCAGCTTCTTGATCACTTTAATTTGGTCTCAGTTTCACCTTTTTATCACGCTCTATCTCTTAACTTCTATTCACCACTGCCTGACATTATCCCACAATGCACTTCTGTCCCTGTTACCCTCACTCATATTTCTAAACGCCACCGTGATGAGTCATGACGTAGTAATGTGGCGAGTCATATTAGCATGGAAATCGGTTGTGGGCCTATCAAAATTCGGCTGAATTGATTTGATAATTGCATCTCACGACGTTATCAAAAAATTTCCCACCCTTACTAGACTCACAGGTGAAAGTCACTTTTCTAATTCTGTTCCTTTAAACCCTCAGAGAAAGGATGGTTCAGAAAGTTAATCACGTCAAGCGAGTTGATGTGTGCCGACACATTCATGGAAGAATGTGGCGAGAATGATAAGCCTGATAACCAATACAACAGCGATGAAACCAACACCATGTGTGCCTTTAAATCTGGAGTGATGTCCTGCTATGTAAGAAAACTGTTTATACTTTTAAAAGTCTTATCCATCAAAAGTCTGATTGTAACTTGACGTATTTAAAAAGTCCTGCGCTTTCTCTCCTGCAGGGCGATTCGGGTTCCGCTGTGGTGTATGAAGGCCATTTACACGGGGTCATTGTCAGCAACCCGACTGATAAGTGTGCCAACCCCATTGTAATGATGGATATCTGCCCCTACAAGGAGTGGATTGAAAAAATCATGAAGGATAATGAACACTCGCATTAATTATGAGATATCACCATAAAAATGACTAAATGTATGTCATTTCATTTTCCTTTTTAATTAAAGCAATGTGGTCTCTCAAAGCTCATGTGAAGTCTTTATTGTGTTTCCCAAACATTTGAATGTCAACTGTCTGATATGCAAAAAGCTTTCACGCCTTTTCAATTCTGGTCTTAAACTTGTAAAGATTCAAGAGTTCAGTCCAACGACAAATTGAGAATAAAGACACATCACACTCAGGGTTCATGACACCCCAAGTTCTAAAGTCCCGTCCCACATCACAAGAAGATATTTAAATGTCACATAATATGCAAAATGCACCTTAAAGGGGACATATTATGAAAAATCCTCTTCTACAGTGTTTTTAAACATATATTTGGGTAACCTGAGTGTCTACTGACCCACAAAATGTGAAATAAATCCATCCAGTCCTTTGTTTGTGGTCTGCATAAGTCTTACAACATAGAGAAAAATGCTCCGTTTCAAATGTGCTCTCCTTGTGATGTCACAGTGGGATTCTGGTTAAAAAAAATCCCCCCCTCCTCCCCTGGTATCTCCACCCATGGACTCCACCCCCAGCCTAGAACAAAACATTTGCGCAGGTCCGCCATTTTTTATTCTCACTACAGAGGAGTGATGTCTACCAGGAAAACTCAGGGGGGGGTCATTTCATTTAAAGAGACACGCACACCAAAACGGAGCGTTCTGAGAGAGCTGGTTTATACAGGGTCACAAACCTCCTCTGGTGCTTGATTCATGTTATATTTTGGACAAAGCACAGCACAGATGTTTCATTTAGACCACAGGGGACTGTTTGAAAAGGTGGAAAAAGGGGATAATATGTCCTCCTTTAATATTTTTTTCTAACACTACCTTGCGTCCCTATTCTGTCTACAAACACCATCATTATGAGAAAAGTCCATCCGCTCTGTCTTTTGCCTGCTTCATTTTTCAGAAAATGTGTGCCCAGTTTTCCCTTCATGACATCACAAAGGGCAGTAGCCCCTCCCCCAGGTGAATGAACACCACACCTCCTAGTAACATGTAAATGTAACGCACTGCAGGGGGGCTTCCAATACAAATAACGAGGTATGACAAGACACTGTAGACATTTCAGACTCATCATTTTTATTCAGATAAGCACATAAATACATTGAAAGATCTCATATGATTGAATGATATGCACCTGTTTCCATTACAGCCGTACTTTTTCAAGATGTTCAAATTCTGAAGGCAGCATATAAAAGTTCTCATAGGACAGTTCTTTGTACAAAAGCACCTCGACGCGTCTTTAACTTGCACACAGGCAGAAACACACACACACACACACACACACACACACACACACACACACACACACACACACACACACACACAACACACAGACACACAGACACACGCACACACGCACACACGCACACACGCACACACGCACACACGCACACACGCACACACGCACACACGCACACACGCACACACGCACACACGCACACACACACACAGAGACACACACACACACACACACACACACACACAGACACACACACACACACACACACACACACACACACACACACACACACACACACACACACACCACACACACACACACACACACACACACACACACACAGACACACACACACACACACACACACACACACACACACACAGACAAACAAACAGATGTGAGTGTTGTCACTCGTTCAGGTCCATTTGTGATTCTCTGGTTTCTTTGTCACATCTCTCTGTGTTGTGTTGACAGTGCACATGTCATCTTTTTGTAAATGTAATATTGTTTATATATCCCTCCTTGGTTAGATGTTCGGTTCTTGTAATGTCATCTTTCACCTTCCAACATTTATTTATTTATAGAATTGACACAAACATCTTTAGTACCTCTCTATGTCTTCTGTAGGAGCTTCGTGGACTTCCACACATTGTTCATCATTCTGAATGTGTTTCTTGCCTTGTTGAGTCGGCTTTTGATGTCATTGCCTGTTCCTCCATCATATCTAACAGTGCTTCCTAGATATGAAAACTCCTCTGTTGTGGGTATATTTACTCCATTTATTTGTATAGGTGGGGGATTTTGTGTGTTTAAGGTCATCACCTCTGTTTTCTTCAGGCTTATGTTCAGTCCTATTTGTTGTGCAAATCTGTTGACACGGGATGTTTTTTCTTGCACATGTTGGTGGGTATGGGAAACCAGTGCCAAGTCGTCTGCAAAGTCTAGGTCTTCAAGAGTTGTAAATAGTGTCCATCTGATGCCTCTAGGTTGATCTTCGGTTGTTCTTCGCATCACCCAGTCTATGACAGTATTGAAGAGTAATGCTGACATCACGCATCCTTGCCTCACTCCAGTCTTGACTTCAAAAGTGTGGTTGCTGTTTCCTACTTGGCATGTGAAGTTGGTGTAAAAAACCTGTATGATGAGGATGATTTTGCTTGGAATTGACAAAAGGGTAATTCCACGCCAGTTGTCACAGTTTTTTAGGGATCCTTTCTTGGGGATCTTTACGATTACACCCTTTGACCAATCGTTTGTTATCGTCTTCCCCTCCCATATGGATGTGAAGAGTGGTTTGAGTAGTTTTGCTGAAAGTTCTGGATGTACTTTGAACAGTTCTGCATTCAGGTTGTCTTGCCCGGGGGCTTTTCCATTTTTGAGTGATTTGACGGCTGAAACAATTTATTTTTCTTCTGGTGGTGTAGTGTTAACATCAAGGGTAGTCTCAGGTTCCTGTATCTCTGCTTCTGCTGTTGGTGGGGGTCTGTTTAGGACCTCGTTGAAGTGTTCTGCCCACCTTGCCTCTACTTCTGCCTCTGATCTAAGAGACTGTTTTTGGGAGTCTCCAAGAGGTGAAAACAGGTTTAAATGATTTGCAACCCTGCTATTAACCGGTAGGATAGTTGAGCGCTCAGCCAGTGGTGAGAGTTTTTGAATTTAAAACGACTTAAAGGTCACATATTATCATTCTTTTCAACCAGTTTAAATAAGTCTCAGAGCTCCTCAAAACATGTGTGAGAAGTTTCTTGTTTTAAATCCACTCTGATCCTGTATTTGATCATGTCTATAAACCCCTCTATTTCAGCCCTGCTCAGAACAGGCTGTTTCTGTGTCTGTACCTTTAAATGTAAATGAGCTGTGTCTGACCACGCCCCCTCTCTGGAAGGGCTTGGGTGTACTCGGTCTTCTCGCTCCATGTCCTATTGTTTACAGTGAGAAGGCAGACTCAGAGGGCAGAACAAACACTTAGCTGTGGGAGTGTCACCCACCTGGGGGAGGGGCTACTGCCCTTTGTGATGTCATGAAGGGAAAATCTCCAAACGGCCTGTTTGAGCACACATTTTCTGAAAAGTGGAGCAGGGAAAAGACATAGAGGATGGACTTTTCTCATAATTGGGGGTTTTGTAGACAGACTAGAGTCACTTATCAGTGTTAGAAAAACATGGTAAATTAGATTTTGCGGAATATGAGACCTTTAAGTTATTGTACAAACGAAGCTAAACAAAAAGGTATTCCATCAGCATTTAAAGGAGTTTGCTTACAATCTTTGCTATTTGTGATTATTGTTATTTTGTCAACCCAAACACTATTAAAATCAAGAAATTACTCAACACTGGGGATCTAGGCTTTACATTGTTGTTGCCTTGGTATCAACCACGGAACAAAATTGTTTTATTTTTACAAGAATCGTATCAAAATTTAAAATTCTGGTACTGTGATGATGACCCTCATTTACTGACATGTGGAGCTGTAAAATAAAATGAGAAAATCTCTTGATTGTCCACAGATCATTGAAAAACAGTCTTTCAACAAAGGAAGTGAAAGAAGTTCTTAAATCTTATAGAAATTGACTAGCTTTGAGCTTTCCCACTTTTGCACATGTATTTCCCACTTCTCTGTTTTTGACAGTTTTTGTGGTGTCTGTTTGCTGCAGGAAAATGCAGTGGACGGAGCAGTCATGACTGGCTCTGATGCAGTTAAGACATCCACTGTGGTGAGCCACACACCGAGCCTCTCTCAACCCAAAGACAAAGATCTGCCTGAACTACTAACCAACGAGATCATAGTGGACAGAGGTAAAACACTTGGATGTCCTGGTTACTCAGAAATACATTTTCCAACACTATACGCACAAATATGTTTACACACACTCCCTCATGTTCGTGCTCTGTTGTTTTCCAGCTGCTGATGCTCCACTGGACCAGACCCCAGCCAAGGGTCTTGCCGTTCCCTCAGCTACTGCAGAGAAGCAGGACATTTTGTCACCACCAGAGGGAGCTGTTACAACAGAGGAGGGCGAGGCAGATACCAGTAAACTTCTGAAGAATAACCTGACTGAGGGTAAAGAGCTGGAGGTGATGGATGTTCATGAAGACGGCGCTCAGACAGAGGGTAAAGAACTCGCTCTATTTCCTACTCTTAGTTTGCAGAGCTTTGTTCAGTGAAGGACAGAGAGCTCAAGTTTCATATCCTGACATTTGAAGAGCTGAGTTTGTGAAATGTTGATGTGTGTTGAAACAACCATTTCCCCCCCCTCAGAGGCGGACCCCGGGATGGAAGGCATGCTGCTCAGCCAGGCGAAGGTTGAAATTCTGTTGCAGGTCTGGAGTTGCCGAAGGAGCCAACACACTCCACACACTTCAAAGCAGAACTGATTGTACATCTCAGCACAATAACAGGTTAATGCAAAACCCTCCAAACACAGTCAACACAAGAGAAACCAAGACGGACATTTCTGCATGAAAGACTCGCGTTCAGGGGATTGATTTCACTAGCATAGCATCTGCATCCTGTAATGGTTTTATTTCTCTGTGGCATTTTCTACATTTGAATTTACTACGATTCAAGGTTTTAGGGATTAGAGTTGAAAATATTTACAACTTCATGCACAATGCTTTTTTATTCCAAAAGACCAGATAAAAAGGCAGAAATATGCAGATGTAATTTTTCACACTATATGATGAGGGATAAAACTTCCTCATTACAAATCAACAGATTTATAATATGTGATTAGATATGCTGATATGTTCACTCTGTAGCGACTCAAATGCAGTATAAATGATGCTGTGTGGA